TACTGGTAGCGAAACACCCTCGTGTAGGGTGTATAACCGGTTAAGCAAGGACACTGCTTCTTCATCTCTATCGCGAGCCTTGGGGCTAACAGTCCGACAAATTGAAGCAACTGTCCGTCCGATTTCAGTCTTGATTGGCGTGGAGTCTGTTTTCTCGAAAAGAGACAGGAGCAGAGAGAGATAGGTCCGTTGATGAGCCGGGGAATCAACATCTTGTGAGAGAGGAGCGAGAAGGTGGGAGATGTTATCCATCGAGGAGATGATCACCTGACGCGCGATACTTGCAGCCGAGAATTGAACCTGCGGAACAGATTCATATGCCCATAATCGTGAAATGGCAGGAATGATACCAGCCTCTCCAAGAATGGCTCTGTTGTGGCCGGCAATTGCAAGGTTCTTCAGGAAACCAAGCGAAGAGTGTAGGACCGCACCACGGGCATCTCCTCTGAGAACGGATATCAATTCTTTGTGGATTTTCAGGTCCCGGACCATCACCTGGCAGACCTCGTCGGACCGGGCGAGGTTTCCAAGCATGACACAGGCGCAGATCTGAAGTTGATCCTCGGTTGCAGCCACCCATGACTTCAATGTCTGTGAAAGAGGAGAATCAAGGGGGTAGTTCTGGGCAAACAATGGTGAGGCAGATACCTCAGCCAAAGCCTGGTTAATCTTGAGGCGAAGCTGCGCGAGAGCCTTGACGTCTTCGCTCAAAGAAGGGTCCACCACAATCGAGAATGAATGGCGCAGGACATCCAGCACGCCTTCCACCATTCCATTCGACACGCAGGCATTCTGGAACTTTTCGTTTCCTAGGTAAGCAGCAAGAGAAGTTGCCAATGACGAGAAATGTGCAAAATCAAGAGTCTCATCAATAGCAAGCTCCATCAGCAGTAGAATTGTTCCGTCGGGAGAGTTTTCAATGCCTTCGGCTGTAAATTATATGTTAGGCCGGAAAACAGACTGAGGTTAAAATAAAGCATACCTTGCTCAGAGGCCAACTCAATCAAGTCGTATGAGAAATTAAGTAGAGCCTCATTATCTTCAATCTCACCATCTTTAATCAGCTTCAATAAGATATAAGCTGTCCGATTGGCAGCTATCTGAGCATGTGCTGGTTCTTATATCATATTAGCAAGACGTGTATCACCGGCCTGTTCTTTCTGGACATACTGTAATCCATGCAAATATTGTAGATGACTGGAATTGCAACAAAGACCAAATCCGAATCAAGGAAATATCGAATGATAGCAAGCGTATGGTTTCCCTTGATAACAATCTCCCTATTCTCGTCTGCATCAACGTCAGTGATATGGGCACATATGCAACTGATTGCAGAATACCTGTATCGGCACACGAGTTCCCAATAACTCGCAAAGAGTGAAGCAACAAACTGGTGTCAACCTTGCCCTTCAAAGAAACCACATCCAGGAAGAATTTCAGAACGCCAGACTGGCCAAACGGAGCACGCCATGAAGCTGAAACGTAATTAGCAAGTTATAAAATTGACCTGTATATAGAATTGACCCACGATCTCTGCTACCATCCGCAATAATCTCAGTGGCTTGTACCAAGTACTCTGAGTTACAAGCCCAGAGCTTTTGCAGAGTGGCGCTCACGCTTTGCAGGGTGTCGGCGTCCCGTCGCCCGCGTTTTGCGTTTGCATCGGCCTCTTCAAGAGATGCATGGAGCCCCTTGAGATCGAAGCTATTTCCAACATCCTCGACCTCCTGGGCTTTTTCAATGATGTCTCGCAACTCACGGAACATCTCCCGTTGCTCTTCCAAGTCAATGGTTTCCGTGCGGGGTGGCAAAGAGGAAGAAACCTCCGGTAGACCTGAGAGAATCTTTTTGATAGGAGGCAGTTCCAAATCTCCCTTTTTCGAAACTGAGTGGCCAGCATCTCCATGAACGGCCAGTTGAGCGGTAGATATACCCGCCGAAGACATCTTGCCGAATCGAGGTCAAATAGTTGCCTCCGGAGTGTGGAGTAATATGGAAGGGTCCGTGTTGAGTTGATGATATGAAGATACAAATTCCTTGGTCGAACGGGAAAGGCCTTCTCAATTAGATGAAGGAGCCTAGATGGTAGCCTGTTGACCCCGTCGTAACAATCAATTTAAACCTTGTTAACAAACAGTGTTTGCTCCGATACGAGAGTACTTGCAGCTTTCAATCAGGAAACGAGAGCCTAAAATGGATTCTTGATATTAGTGGAAGACAAGCGGCTCCTCATCAGGAATATCGCAGAAACAAAGTAAGTTTAAACTGTTCGTGGAGAGACCCGTGGACTTAGCTGCCTGAGGTGGATTCAGGCACCAATCTCGTTTAGGTTAGGCCGGAGTATGATGTTTATATGGAACCATATCATGTTTGCTGTATGTTGTATTGCAACTACACTCATTTGAATTCAATATGAAAACTATATCCTACATCTAAGTACATATGTATGTATCTATCTATCCACTGAGATGAAATATCAATTCCCGTGATCCGTGTTCCACTATGTTAAGAAGCCCAATTTGGAAGCAAGCTTGTGAGTAGAGGGTGGGGGTAGGTAATGTCTATTGTCACATACATTTCGAACGTTTTTCTCACTAGAGAGCTTTTTGCTATGTTGATAGGCAAAAAGAAAACCCCCCACAAAAAAAGAATGGAGCTGCGCGGAATCGAACCACGATATTCAAGGAATGAATCATGATAATTTCCCGGTTAGGGAGAATTACATAAGCTTGATGGACTAACCATTATCCTACAGTTCCTTAACCAGTAGCCTATAGCTTCTAATTTTGGGAAAGAGCACCGTTAAGAGTGCTCGTGTTTCGGAATTCTTCAATCCTAATAGGTGTCAATAATAGCATGAAGACGTCCACCAATACTAGCAGAAGACATTCAGCACTCCGAAAATGCTAGTTTCAATGGTTGAACAGCATTATCACCTGGTTAAGCACCTTTTTTCGCTCAGTATTAAAATTTAAGGTAGATAAATCCATGAAATCGATTCCTTGGCATAGGGTCTAGGGCACGTTCAGCAACGTGATCTCGGGCTCCATGTGCCTTCCTACAATTAGTGGTTGCAGTCTGGCTTGAAAACTGTCAGTATCGGCATTGATTTCATAGATCATCCCATTTTAGTTGCCCAGGTGTAAACTATATGTTCGTCATCAAGTTTACTTTTGCATGGATCTGAGAGCAGGTACCCTACTACGATAGCCCGGCCGAGAAGGGACGCTAATGTATACAAATGGATGTACAAAGTACATACATATGGCCGCTTTCCCCTTTCAAGACAATGGAAGTAGATTACGTTATTGGCCACGCAATTAACTATCCGTTGAGATGATGACAATTCGGCCTTCCAAGTTGGAGACGCAGATTGCAGGGATCAGTTGCATTTGTAATCGGAGAATTTGAGCGCCGGAGATTGGGGATTAGGCTTGAAATGTATAGGGATTTATAATCAACAGTGCCTGTTCGACTGTCACCTAAAAACGTATATAAGTGTACATTGAGTCAGGCATCTATATAAGGTATTATACTTCAATTCCACTGCATCTGGTCGAACCCACTTCGAGTTAATCAATCGGACGCAAATTCTCATAACTTATTCCTATATACGATCATCGAGCCCTAGAAGGATCCTTACAAACCATAATGGCCCCTATCGTTGTCTTCATCACCGGTGCCAATCGTGGCTTGGGCCAAGGGCTGATCAAGGGTTTCCTCGCTAAATCAGACCATGTAAATGCTTCTTTTTTTCTCGCTCCACTTGCAATTAGAGGCAATCACTGACATTAAGTGCCTAATAGATAGTTATAGCTGCCGTTCGTGACCCAGCGCACTCGACCGCTCAGGCACTTGCCGAGCTGCCCCAAGGCGAGGGCAGCCGTATTATAGTAGTCAAGTATGATGCGAGCGTTGAGCAGTCTGCCTTTGATGCAGTCAAAGAAGCCAGAGATCAGGGCATCGGCCATCTTGACATTGTCGTCGCTAATGCCGGCATTGCCAAATTATATCCACTCGTGAAGGACGTCAAGCGGGCCGATATAGTTGAGCATATTGACGTCAACGTGTTAAGCGCCGTGTCGTTGTACCAAGCCACACGCGATCTGCTGCAAAAGTCGGGCGGAAAGCCCATCTATGCCATTATGGGATCCGGGGCCGGTGGTCTCGCGTATGTCTACTCGAATTTGGGACACGGTAAATGGAAGCTAACTATCTCTAGACGTCAACCCCCAGTCCCAAGTGCAGCATATGGCGCATCAAAGTCGATTGTCAACTGGTACGGAGTTCGGATCAACGCCGAGGATGAGTGGCTCAATGCGTTTGTCTTGGATCCCGGCTGGGTGCAGACTGACATGGGCAATGCTGCTGCGCAGCTTTGGGGCATGGAGGAGGCGCCTGATACCCATGAGAAGTCCATTACCGGCATGGTTGAGGTTTTGAGCACAGGCACCAAGGAGCAGTATGGCGGCAAGTTCGTGCGGTACTCGGGTGAGGTTCTGGAATGGTGATCATACTAGTTTCATAGATCATGGATAGATCGGGCCCCCACTCTAGGCCAAGCTACGAAGTAGGGCTTCTCGCATGACATTTCCTTGCAATTCAAACGATATGAGAATATACTACTTCATCAATGACTCTAGTCTCTATAAGGATGGTCAAGAATATGTATGCTGTAGTGAATGAATTTTATTGAGGTCGGGCGAGTCGGTTTGCTTACATAATCTATTTTGAGCCGTGCTCAAAGCGGAAGGGCAGGCCTCTAAACTGCGTATGTATGTTCTTTTCTCTTTGTTAATTCTTTTTATATTCCTTTCAAAACATTTGGGAGAATTAGATATAGATGAATATAAATATTTCACAAGACCATAGATGTATTAACCATTTAGAATCCAAATGCCCTGTAGAAGATACCGACTTGGCAGGTACACAAGACCAGTGACCTGGTCCGGGTGCCAAGAAGCGCATCACCCAAGTTGGCCTTTGCCGCATACAGCACTGCAACACCCCGAGTCCCTCATTTTTACCACGCTAAACCGGTGCTATCTTCACAATTGACCTCTCTCCTCTCCTTTGTGAATCTCCTGTCTTATCTACCGATTTCACCATGACGCGCGCTGTCCAGACCCTCTCCGTTCTTCTCCTTGTCTCCTCAGTATGCTACGAAGTCCCTCCATCTCAGGAACACAATCCCACATGGATCTTACTGACAACCGATCAGCTCTACCTTTCCCTTTTCCTTGGACTTGTTCCCCTGAATGAGACTGTCCAGACTGAAGTCATTCCAGTTGTACGTTACCCACCCCGTCAGCCCCCCCGAGCCCCCAACTCCGGTCTTCGAATGTGTCGATGGAAGAGAACTAACCTATAACCACCCAGCTCCCATTCTACGCGCTTATTGTCTTCGCTTGCTACCTTCTCGCCCGCCTGGGTGTGGCGATCTTCACCTTCAACGATGTCCCCGAGGCACACGCTGAGCTACAAAAGGAGATCGAGCTTGCCAAGGTGGAGTTGCGCCAGGGCAAGGTTGAGGTCGATTAAATGAGAGATCGATATGCGCATAAATTATGCTATTAACCAGATGTTCGGATCCAGGGCAGACAAGGTCTGGGTCCGAGTCCGAGAAGTTCAGGCTGTGGATTGGTGTTTGGGCGCGGAGGCTTTTGTCTTCGCAGGATTGAAAAGGCTGCGCTGGATCAATATACTACACTATGCTCCAGTGACTTTTTGTCTCGCTACCAATGCTATATTCTCTTGATACCCGTCTACAATTCAACGTCTGCAAAACAACGTTTGGAGGATTCTAGGCCCAGGTTTCTGGTTGGTCGTTATAACAAGGCCCGCATTAATGGGGAGTGCTCCTTGAGAAAAGAAAATGAGCACGAGTGCAAGAGCAGTTTCAAGTCAAAAAGTCTTTTGGGGGACAGCCTGCCGGTCTGCCAATCAGCCAAAAAGAACGAACTTTTTCTATAGAAATTCATCAAGGATATCGTAAAAATTACACGCTCAGATTTATGCATCCGGTCTGAGCATGGACAGTAAAATCGAGGACCAAAATAGTCACAGATATAAACCGTCAGAGCGGCGCGCAAAAGGGAATGCTTATGATAATGTAGTCATTCGCTTAAACAACCCTGGGGTTCTTGGTCGAAATATCAACGATAGGGCTTTTCTTGGCCAGAGTATCGTGCTCTTCAATGTCCCTGTAGGAAGAAGAAAGAAATCAGCCACAATCTAGAATATAGAAAATTCGAGGTATAACATACTCAGCCTCCCAAGGGTAGCAGATCCAGACATCCCCAGTGGTGACCGCGGCGTGGTAACGCTGGTCGTTCTCCATCATATCTTTGGGCAGCGTACCTTTCTTGGCCTTGTCCTTGTTCTGTTCCAGTTGTTAGCCAAACCCATCAACCTCCAAAAAGAGAACGAAAAAAAAAAAAAAAAAAAACATACGTGCAGAACGAATACAAAGAAGTTAGTCTCCAAGTTCTTCTTCTCGTCCCCGGGACCGAGCTGCTTCCGGGCTTCCTTGACATCCTTCTCGAGCTCCTCCACGGCGTATTGTAGGGTTGTGCGGGTATCATCGACCTCGTCAACGATAAGAACATTCTTACCAACCAAGTTGGCCATCTCCGAGGAGCTCATGTCGAGCCATTGCAAACGCTTGACCTCAGTACCGGGGGCCTCTTCGGCGCCACCCTTGCCCAAGTCCTCGTAGAGGGACAGACCGATGGCCTGGATGGGAATGTTAGGGTTACCGGGCTTCTTCAGGAAGGAGCTGTTCGACGAGTATGGATCAGTGTACAGTCGATATGAAGGGGCACGTGTGGATTGGACGTACCGGAGGATGCGGGCAGGGATATAACCACCACCGCCGATGGCGATCATAAGGTCAGGTTTGAAGGACGCGAGTATCTTTTCCGCCGAGTTCTTGCAGAGCTTGTGGACCTGTTGAGATTGTTTATATTAGTCTTGGTCGTTTTAAAGTTCAGAGGTATAATTGTGGACTGCGATAAGACAATCTACATATTTGCGGGGTTGAGGGATATATTGATGTTGCTGTTCATATGTGTCTCTTCGACATCTTCGATATCTTCAACGTATTTTTGTTGACTTCAAACACAACAAGACAGTGTCTAGTCCGTAGTCTGGGATTCTTACCTCATTGTAAGTGACATATTGCTTTTGGTCTTCCGACATATTGGCGGTTGTTAGGATGATTCCAAAATTGGATAAATCTATGAGGATGATAAATGACAGTTCAATGAAGAAGTATCAAGAAGTTGACTGTTCACACCTGTCGAATGTTTTTCCACGAAGAGAATGGGAAAGGGAAAAAAAATGGAGGGGGAAGGAAAAAAAAAAAAAAAAAAAGTCGGACGGAAAGGTTATCGGCCCGCAGGCGTGCGGGGGCTCTTATCAGACCCTTCTTAAGGCTTTTAATGTCCGATGTATGTATGTTGTACATACAGCTTGACCCTGCATATATTCATTTTAATATGTATCTCAATATGCATAATATGAATTTTATTCTACCCTATAACACCCTAAGTATACCAGCTAGGTTCAGGCACTTCATGCAGCAGTGCATATCGCCCTAATTCCCGGTTCTTGTACGCCACTGGATCGTGAAGAGTGTGTACTCGAATATCCCGCCAGAACCGATCCAATCCGACTTTTGAGGCAGTCGCCCGGGCTCCAGTCACTTCAAATACACCAGAAGTAACTCTAAGTCCGACATCTGTGGCGACCACCTTGATGCTAGCGACCCACTCCGCAACCTCGCCACGTTCCTGGGCCGTGAGACCAGATTTCTGCGCTTGGTATCGCGTATAAAGCCCTGAGAGTTGATCGCCTGCTCGATCGGCAAGGGCTTCAGTGGCACGCAGATGCGCAAAGAAGTTACCATAGCGTTCGAGGATGTAGAACTCATCCGTTGCTGATTCCTTGTTGTCCCCACCGAAAGGCCAAGCACGTGTTGCGGTTGTGGTGTATTTGGAAGCGAAATCCAAAGAACCGAGAGCAATACCCAAGTAGAAATTGCTGAAGACCAGTTGGATGCTGTAGGGAAAAGCGAGTAAGTATTGAACTATGCAACCGCTGGGGAAGCATGACACATGCAATGACATAGACTGTACTTACGTTGGCAGAAATAGAGTAGGGAACGCGATCTTCAGTGTATCATCGCGAGGCTTTTTGGTAGCTGCGTCCCAGCCCAGTGCATCTGACCAAGAAGCACGGACATTGTCTATCTTCACGCCTCCAGACTCGGTCAGGCGCAACCCAATGTTGTGCCAGTTGTGAGCAAACTGGATACCGGGCTGTTGGGTCTCGACCAAAGCGAATATATGGTCCTGAGTACCATCCACTATACCTTCAAGGACTGTGAGGTCAGACACAACGCCTCCAGTGTTGAAGTACTTGTTCCCGGTGAATACGATATGGTCTCCATCTAGGGTGATCTTCAGATCATTGTCGCGGGGGTTCACGGCGCCGCCGACAAAGTAGTTGTTCGAAATGATCAACTGATGGGTTCGGTCGGCTTGTTCAGGAGTGCCCATGACATTTGCAATGGTAGACCAGAGAAGGTGATAGCCAAGCAGCATACCGATAGATCTGTCTTCTTGTTAGGGACTATCCTTGGGAGCCATGTGGGATGCTTGGATGTTACCCATCTGCCTTTGCAACCTCTCTTATTGCCTTGTATCCAACGCTCCAGGGTTGCTCGCCACCACCATACTTCTTAGGTCCTAGAAGCTTTGTCAAGCCCGAATGCTTGAGCAGGGCCACTTCGGCGCGCGGCGATTTGTTCTCCTGGTCTCTTTGGACCGCATCCTTGGCTAGCACTTCGGAGACCTCTCGGGCTCTAGCAATCCATCCTTCTTCGGTGTCCGGGAGATTGGACCATATGGTTTCGTATTCAGCGTAGACAGCGGGGTCTGTCGCTGGAACACTGGATTGGGACATGATGGCAGGGTATATGCAGTATGGTTGTTCAGTTCAATTATATTGAAATTAACGGACTATTACTTTTCATGGGATATGAGACAGTATATAAATAGTCCCCTTGCGGGGATATATTACATGCTTGTCGCTCCGTATCACGCAATGCCGTGTCACCCCAACACCCAAAAATGAGATACATAAACTTTGGATTCGCCAGATTCGCTAGACAAATAGAATAAGTCGTTATTGCTACTGAAGTAGCACCATATTCTATAAAAAAAATTAACGCAAATGAATCATCAGGGGGTTTGTTCCTCTCTTGACGAATTCCTGTAGTGTACGACCGCTTGTACTTGATCCTTGCCGATGGTGCTTGCTCGCCTATCACCCAAATTCAAATCTCTCTACATGAATTGAATGGCCTCTTTGTTTTTTTTTTTTTGTTTTTTTTTGTTTTTTCTCTGTTTTTCTGTTTTTTGTTTTTCGTGGTTTAAACGCCCGTAGACAAATGCCCCAGGTAATGGTACCGAGCAAACTGTAGCTTGTCATCGTTTGACCAAAGGGCCCGGAATGGAAGGGTGAATGTTGCCCCTCTCGAAGCGCCAATTATTGAATGCATCATTAATGCTTGGACAGGCAAAAGCTCGAGTCACATACTTATGACTTGGGATTCTCTCGGAAAGATGTAGGTCGAGGGATAACCGCACGAGCCATTATGATCTTGTGATTTTCATGCGAATCACATAGGTCTCCTATTTCATCCACTATCGTCCAGAAGATTCTGGGGTGACCAGTACTCTTTCTAGGGCCTTGGGCATCCAACCAGACTAAACCATCAGTAAGCAGGTCATCGATTACAGTTTGTGCTCGAGCTTTTTCCCATTTGAGGTTCAACCGAAGCATTGAAACGCTCACAAAACCCAGCATTTGAATCACTTCCAAGACTGTTGCCTGATCTGTATTGAGTTCTTTAGGAATGGACCGAATGTACTGCTTGCTGCCGACCTTGACGATGGAGAACCCGGAGCCAAGAGGTTCGAGAGACCGAACTGCTCGTAGGATGTCATCACTGTCGAACACATAGTTAAGTCAGTCGCTTGTATAGATATCCATATTTCGGGAAGGAACAACTCCATACTCTGAAACTTCAAGCCCGCTACCAATCGCCTTGCCCTTCCCCACTCGCTTCCGACACTCCTCAACACCAATCAGTCCACCATTTTCGCTCCTGGTCTCTCTGCATAACTCCACAACTCTAACTGCGACTTCAAAATAAAAGTCATTCATATCTCCGCCCATAATCTGGGTCCAGAAGCTGCCCCCTTCTCCCAGTCCACGACGACCATTCTTGCCCTTGACGTTGCTTGCGGCAAGAGGATCAACCCCGATTGTGTTGCACATGCGCGCAAATTCTGCCCTGAATGTCGGGTTGGACTTTATCGTAGAGCTATGTTCTAACGCAAATGTATGGAGCAACGACTGGAAAACCGACAACTGGGTCTGCAGGGAGGCAGTATGCGTAGAGCGGAGATTGGCGCCATGGGTAGCATAAGATTGTGTTGCTTGAGTTCGGTTTGCAAAGGCCCCGAGGCCAACTCCGCGACGTGACATGGTGTATGGAGTGTAAGGGGAATCAGTGTTCACTTTGTTACATGTACCCCCAGACAGGTCAGACATCCATGGATGGATCCATGAAGTCATCTGATAAGAGGTAAACCCTTATCTAGACCTTGATAAGGGCTGGACCCAGAACAGGTTAGTGCTTGCTATATTATACGCTAGCCTAATATGGCTAGGGAGACCCGCACCCACACAAGCGAATCTCTTCTTACAAGTCCTTTTCTTCAAACTTTTTCTTCTTCCTTTGACATCCTTCGACAACCAGCCGACTCTCGACCTCGTCCGGACATTCAAAATGGCCGCTACTACGTATGATTCCCAATGACTTCGTCCTAAGACTGATGCAATCTCTGTTTGAGTTTGTAAGGTTGCGGGTATAGTCGTCCTTCTCGCTGGGGATGCCAGCCGTTTGTCCACAACGATGACGGCTAGGCACCAGCTCGATCCTTCCTGCTCTCTCTCGATTCCAATTATCTCGGATGGATACACTTGCTGTCTATCACGGAGCAAAATTTGGATACAGAAAAGGGGGTGATGGAGTCTTGAGGTTGAAAGCGCCTGGCGCCTTCTCTTCCAAAAATATTGTTGTGAACTATCGTTCCCGGGCGCTCATGATGTGGTAACAGCATTATGATCCTGAAGCGAAAGAGTGACAACATATTTCCTGAACATTGTTCGGGGTTTTGTCAGATGAAGGCATCAATGACATCTGGGGGGTGATCGGGTTTTCGAACACTATGCTGGAATATGCATGGCTAGTACCAAACTGCAATCGATCATGAACCCCCGATGTCTTGGCCCTCACTGATTAAAGACATTTCGTCGAGTTCTTTTATGCCTTCAGTTGAGAATGTGGCGCTATATGCTGCAATTCTTTCACTCGGCGAATTGTCTCAGTCTTGATCTATTCTAGACAGACTGTTCTAACATTACACAGCTCCGTTCCCACCCAGAACCAGGTCCTCGTTCCCGAGACCCTTCTGAAGAAGCGCAAGTCTCAAGAGGCTGCCCGCGCTGAGCGCCGTGCCGAGGCCGAGAAGACCAAGAAGGTCAGTTTCCCCTCTTTCTTTCACATTGTCACACTTCCCTTCCAACTACATGATGCATAACACCATTCACGATGACTAGACCGCTACCACGGTCAATGCTGTCGTCTGTCAACCATCTTTCGGGTCTGACATTAGTTACACAAACTACTTGCCATTTTCTTCACAAGACTTTGGAGATCTCTCATACTGACTGAGATTCATATAGGCCAACAAGGAGAAGCGTGGTGTTATCTTCAAGCGTGCCGAGTCCTACGTCCAGGAGTACCGCACCGCTGAGCGCGAGAAGATCCGCCTCAACCGCGTTGCTCGCCAGGAGGGCAGCTTCTTCGTTGAGGGTGAGCCCAAGCTCGTCTTCGTTGTCCGTATCAAGGGTATCAACAAGATTGCTCCCAAGCCCCGCAAGATCCTCCAGCTCCTGCGTCTGCTCCAGATCAACTCTGGTACTTTCATCCGCCTCACCAAGGCTACCCAGGAGATGTTGACCATCGTCAACCCCTACATTGCCTACGGTTACCCCAACCTGAAGTCCGTCCGCGAGCTTCTGTACAAGCGTGGTTACGGAAAGGTCGACAAGCAGCGCACTCCCCTCACCGACAACCAGATCATCGAGGAGCACCTCGGCAAGTTCGGCATTGTCTGCATGGAGGATCTGATCCACGAGATCTACACCGTTGGCCCTAACTTCAAGCAGGCCAACAACTTCCTCTGGCCCTTCAAGCTGTCCAACCCCAACGGTGGTTTCCGTACTCGCAAGTTCAAGCACTACATTGAGGGTGGTGACACCGGTAACCGTGAGGAGAACATCAACGGTCTCATCCGCCAGATGAACTAGATTTCTTCTCATGAAGAATTCCGGTTGGAGCGTTCTCTGAGCGCACTAAAAATGTTACAAAATTTTACGACTTTACTGTCTTGGGTTGTTTTTTGCACGGGCTGTTTATATCCACTAGTCAATTCTTTTTTTAGCGATACGATGGTCTGGGGTTTCCGATCAATTTAATGCTTCAAACAACCCAATTTCATGGTCATGGGCCTGGTTCCTGTCGTACTTTGTGTCTCGTAGCTGTTTCTTGGCTTTTATTTTTCTCCCCTCGGTAGTAATCGGGGTTTTGTGAGGCCGAGACCGTCCCGAGGTCCGAGTCCCATGTCCAACCATCCTGCTGCCTCAAGGGGTTTTCGAAGCTGTGTTATTAAAGCCGCGCTTCATAATTTCAACCCCAGTAGCTCAAATATCAAGCTCATGACTGTAGTTAACCAATTTAAGTGGTTTACTTCATCTAGAGCTTGGGTTGTCATCAGTTCATCATATGTGTCTACATCGTATGCTACCAGAGTTACCGGCTTTAAATTTGGAAAGACATCTACAAAAAGGTATTGTCTTACCAGAAGTTACTACATCCCAAAAGGAACCATATATTTAGAACCGAGCCCAGAACAGGAGTGGACAATCCTAAAATTGGGGAGATATATATCTATTCGACATTTATGTGACACTGCATTCCGACGTTTCTATGTCAGTTCACACCAATTAGATTCTAATGACCTTCTGAACTCTCCTATTATGGTCAACCACAAGGCAGAGCTGTCGTCCTTGCCAGTCTGAGCTCGATGCTGATAAGTTATGCGGCGTAGGCTTGAAAGCGCCGTCGCGGAGGGTTTCAGTAAAGAGCTCGTAGGATGGGTAATCTACATCGACCATTTGAGTTAGTATATTTAATCATCAATGGTGTTATTGCTCCCCGGAGTATATGCGTACAGCCGTCCACAAAGTGTTTGACCTGTTCTTCGGTCATTCCGGTGCCTTTGGCCGCACGGAGAGTGAGTTCCTGCTGCTGACGCCATTCGTAGACGAAATGAGGGTTTTCGGCGTCGCTGAAATTGGTTAGTAGAAGTAAAGTATGTCGAGCGGCAACAAAGCACATACATATGGACCAAAGCATCAAGCTTGCTGTGAAAGTAAAAAAGAAACCCATATTAGCAAAGCTTCTAGTTGCAGCCTTCAATGGCCAAAGAAACCCACTTAGTCAAGACATCATATCGCTTCAGAGCATCGTTTACAGCCTTGACATCCTCGAACTTGACATGGCCTAGTCGTCCATCATATTCGCCGCTCTCCTTTTGATGCACAGCGGCCTCCCATTTCGCATGGAGGGTTTGGTCATCCCACGCACGGAACCCCACACACCACCCTTCAAAAATCACGACCTTGACTTTATCTTGACCCTTTTCATTGACGGTTTTCCATTCTGCCTTTGGGATACGATCACCCTGACCCTCGAACGCAGACTTGTCATACTGTGGAATGGCCGTCGGACGTTCAGCAGCGAGTGAAGCAAACACCTCCTCACCCAATGCGAGGTCGTGAGTCGATGGCTGACCACGATGCTGCAGGAGGGGATTTGAAGGATGCGCCTGTGCTAGAGCCACCTGATTGGCGTGGTCAAGGTAGATATCGTCGAGCGACAAGGTCACGACCGAGAGCGAGTATGGCTCGGACCGGAGGGTGTCATTGAGAGCGGATACCTATGGAGGGATTAATATCAAGTGCCGTTTCGAGGAAACTAAACGAGATCCCGAGGCATGAGAAATCGACGAGGTCGATCGACTTACTAAAACTGTCTTGCCCGCACCCTGAACGCCATTGAGACCGATGAAAAACGGCGGGGTACTGGGGTTGCTGCGGTGCCGCTCGATATGAACGCGCAGGCGATCGAGTAGGAAGGGGATACAGTGCTGCGACTTATCGTCCACGATTCCGGGCATTTTGACTTGATTTCAACTACCGAATACGTATAGTTCTTTATTGCACGTCTTTTGTATCCATCGGCTACGGTGCGCGGGAAATTCCCCCTCCAATCGGCCGAGTGAATCTGGGGTTATTTCCCCCCACGGGGTATATTCAGCCGCTACTTGCTACTTTCGATATGTTAAGAATATTAGAAGCGTATTCTATTTAAGAAAATTGTCAACTGGTCAAATAATAATATTGACTTATACAGAGATGTATGCACATGACAATGACGTTGCCCGTCACATGCCTGAGTCAGCAAGTACTCGGCCCCGGGAGACATATACCTACACTCTTACACCTATTACACCCTATTACACCTATTTACAGTATATATATTGTATATATTGTATATATTTGCACATGCTTTATGCACAAGTCAATAATCTAATATTCACTTTCCATTCAAATTACCACATGTACGAAGGAGTTTCACAGTACACAGAGTACGGCATGTGATACGGGACGATCTGCCATTGTAACGATACCCCAATGTTTCGTTACAAAACCAACCCAAACGTGCCGAGGTTCTCCAGCTTGCCGAGTTGCTTTAAACTCCCCTCTTCTCCAGCTTTCTTCTTTTATTTCTTTCTATTATCCACTTAACTTTCGGATATACACAGAAATGTCCGAGTTGCGATTCGATAACCAAACGGTGGTCGTCACCGGTGCCGGTGGTGGTCTGGGGAAAGCATATGCTCTCTTTTTCGCCTCAAGGGGTGCAAATGTCGTCGTGAATGACCTCGGTGTCTCTCACAAGGGTGAGGGCAAGTCAGGAAAGGTATGTGCAACAACTCCGACCTAGACCGACGGACACTGATAGCTACTCCAGGCCGCAGATGTTGTCGTCGAGGAGATCCGGGCCGCCGGCGGTAAGGCCGTCGCCAACTACGACAGCGTCGAGAACGGTGATGCTATCATCGAGACCGCTATTAAGGCCTTCGGTCGCATTGATATTCTGCTTAATAACGCTGGTATCCTGCGGGATATTAGCTTTAAGAACATGAAGGATGCCGATTGGGATCTGATCAACACAGTTCACACCTACGGTGCATACAAGGTGAGAATCTTCGGACACACCAAAAACAAATTAGTGAAGCAGGAACTGATGGATCATTCTTTGGATAGTGCGCAAGAGCCGCATGGCCTCACTTCCGCAAACAAAAGTTTGGCCGTGTTATCAACACGGCCTCGGCTGCTGGTCTATTCGGCAGCTTCGGCCAGGCCAACTACTCAGCTGCCAAGCTTGGCCAGGTCGGTTTCACCGAGACCCTGGCTAAGGAGGGTGCCAAGTATAACATTATTGCCAACGTTATTGCTCCCATTGGTAAGCAAGCTACAAAACCCCAACTCATGAATTTGGGGAAGCTAACCCCAAATTAGCTGCCAGCCGCATGACTGCAACTGTCATGCCCCCTGATGTTCTGGAGAACCTCAAGCCCGACTGGGTGGTTCCTTTGGTCGCTGCCCTTGTGCACTCGTCTAACACCACAGAGACTGGTGGTATTTACGAGGTCGGCGGTGGTCACGTTGCTAAGCTCCGCTGGGAGCGAGCTAAGGGTGGTCTCCTGAAAACTGATGACTCCCTGACCCCTGGTGCTATCGCCCGGAAGTGGAACGATGTCAACGATTTCTCTCAGCCCGAATATCCCACTGGCCCTGCTGACTTCATGGCCTTTTTGGAAGATGGCTTGAAGACACCCAGCGCTCAGCCGGGAGAGGAGCCCGACTTCAAGGGCCGTGTTGCCCTGGTCACTGGAGGTGGTGCAGGTCTCGGCCGTGCCTATTGCTTGCAGTTCGCTAAGCTCGGTGCCTCCGTCGTAGTCAACGACCTTGTTGACCCCGAGCCGGTGGTCCAGGAAATCAAGAAGCTCGGCGGCAAGGCTGTTGGCAACAAGGCTAACTGCGAGGACGGTGATGCCGTCGTCAAGAGCGCCATTGATGCCTTCGGCCGCATTGATATCTTGGTGAACAATGCCGGCATCCTGCGCGACAAGGCTTTCACCAACATGGATGACAACCTGTGGAACTCCGTTGTTAATGTCCACCTCCGTGGTACCTACAAGGTGACCAAGGCTGCCTGGCCTTACTTCCTCAAGCAGAAGTACGGTCGTGTTGTCAACACTGCCAGTACCAGCGGTATCTACGGCAACTTCGGCCAGGCCAACTACGCTGCTGCCAAGCTTGGTATCCTGGGTCTTTCCCGCACTCTAGCTTTGGAGGGTGCCAAGTACAACATTAAGGTTAACACCATTGCTCCCAATGCGGGTACCAACATGACCCGCACCATTATGCCCGAGGAGATGGTCCAGGCTTTCAAGCCCGACTATGTTGCTCCCCTCGTAGTCTTGCTGTGCTCTGATATGGCTCCTGAGCCTTCCACCAAGGGTCTGTTTGAGTGTGGTAGTGGTTGGTTCGGCCGCACCCGCTGGCAGCGCACTGGCGGCCACGGCTTCCCCGTGGACGTCAAGCTGACCCCCGAGGAGGTGGTTCGTAACTGGGAACAAATCACCAACTTCGATGACGGTCGCGCTGATCACCCCGAGGACGGCCAGGCCGGCGCGGAGAAGATCATGGCCAACATGTCTAACCGCGTGCACGGTGATGCTTCCAGCGAGAACGAGACCCTGAAGAACATCGAGAAGGCCAAGGCCCTTTCGAGCGAGGGTACTCCCTTCAACTACGAGGACCGCGATGTGATCCTGTACAACCTCAGCTTGGGCGCCAAGCGCACCGACTTGCCTCTGGTCTACGAGAACAACGACCAGTTCCAGGCCCTTCCCTCGTATGGTGTTGTCCCCTGGTTCAACACCGCAACTCCCTGGAACATGGACGAACTGGTGAAGGACTTCTCCCCCATGATGCTGCTCCACGGCGAGCAGTACATGGAGGTTCGCAAGTTCCCCATCCCCACTACCGCCAATACCCTGACCTATCCCAAGCTCATTGACGTTATCGACAAGGGAAACGCAGCCATCGTCATCGCCGGGTTTACAACCAAGGATGCCAAGACTGGCGAGGATCTGTTCTATAACGAGTCTAGCGTCTTTATCCGCGGCAGTGGTGGCTTCGGAGGCTCTTCCAAGCCCACTGCTGTGCGCGCCAAGGCTGCCACTGCTGCGTACAAGGCGCCGCAGCGCCAGCCCGATGCCGTGGTTGAGGAGAAGACGTCCGAGGACCAGGCAGCGCTGTACCGCCTGAACGGTGACCGCAACCCGCTCCACATCGACCCCGAGTTCAGCAAGGTCGGCGGCTTTAAGACCCCCATTCTGCACGGTCTGTGCTCACTCGGTGTGTCGGCAAAGGCTGTCTTCTCCAAGTTTGGTCCCTACAAGAACCTCAAGGTTCGCTTCGCGGGTGTCGTTCTGCCTGGCCAGACCCTTAAGACTGAGATGTGGAAGGAGGGCAACATCGTCCTGTTCCAGGCCACCGTTGTTGAGACTGGCAAGCCTGCCATCACTGGTGCCGGTGCGGAGCTCCTGGAGGGCGCTAAGGCCAAGCTGTAAAATATGAAATCTTTGGTTGAAGCGATATTCCCATTGGCAAAGCGAGCCGGAACACTTGGTTCAGATTATGGCTTCTTTCTTTGTATATACTACCTGTGATTTTTCTTGTTTTTAGTTTTTCCCCATGAGGCCAATGAGATGTATCTGAATTTGGTAACTACGTAACTATACCGACTTGGAAATACTACATTTTTTGAATACTTTGGACTGATATTATTTCCCATGCAACAACCATAAGGAATGCTTTCGGGTCATTTGATAGATGTAGCGTTTGGAGGGAATCAATTCTAGTCATATCGAAAGCACTCTCAAAATAACGTACCGGAAGACACGTTGATTCTTTGCTATTCTAGTGATATTGTCCCACATTGCGTGATTCTTTTGAACCGTGTTCCTAAGGAGCATGCGATCTTTGGGATTTCATTTGCTGTTCAAGTGGTTTCGGGCTCAGATATATCGTATGGTGTGGGTTGATGTATCGGCACTAGGGCAAGGATCGAGTGACATTCTGCAGTCTCAACGAGACACTCTGTGTATGCGATATGGTTTAAAAAGAAGGGGTCACTGTCTAGCAAATAGAAAGATCACTGGATGGACGTAGATGTAAAAGAAAAGAAAGAAAAGAAAGAATAGAAGGAATATAAAAAAAGAACGCGGCGGAAGGTCGTCTTATGTAACATATCCTTCATTCTTCATTCTAGGCTCCAGGACTGTTCCAACACATTCTTATATTCCCCCACCTGACATCTTCTGACATCTTCTGATACCCTCTGACACTTTCATATTCCCAAACCATGTAAAGCCTGTACAATCATGGTGCTCTCGCTGCCAGTTCCCGGTTTCTCCAAATCCTCCACATCCCGCCCCGCCGACGGCACGCAATCTCACCGAAAGTCAGCCTCCGGTTCTTCAACCAGCTCCTCGTCCAGTCGCAATGCCCGAAAGCCATCTCTAGGACAAACTGGATCCTCTCCCAACAGCTACTCCATCACCCTCGAAGCGCTACGAAATAACCCTTTTGGCAGTACCTCCCGATCACGCGGCCCCGTCCAGCTCTCGGCCCACGAAACAGAGGAACACAAGCGGGAACAGGAGGAACTCAATACTGCACTTGAGACTCTAGTTCTAATCTTTCCAGATGTACAGATAGAGGTGTTCCGCGAGCTGCTGCTACGCTTTGACGGACAGAGCCGGTTACAAGTGTGTGTGGAGGAGCTACTCAGACATAAGAAGAACTGGGTTTCGGGGCGCTGGAACCTCCCAGAAGGAACTACTGAAGCCGAGGCAGAGGGAAATGCTCTCCCATCTCCTGGAGGTGACAACTTTGCTCGACATGATGCTGGCAAAGGCGGCCTGGTCCCTCCCGATGAGCGGTTTCGGTCCGACGAATACAAGGCCGCTGTGCGGATGGCCATGACAAGAGAATATAATGGTCTGAACAAGAGTACAGTGGAGGCTGTTCTAGCTGAAGTGAATTTCAGCTATGCCCGCGCTCGACCGATGCTCCGGGATCTGTCGCGTCGGACATGGCGCGCGACATTCAACAGCATGTTCCCGTCCTTTAGGCGGAAGAAGGACCGCGAAGAACATCCTCTTTTGGCCTGGCATCGTCGAGCAGACGGGGAACTTGTTCCTTTTTTGAAGGAAACCGGGTGCAACGAGCTGGATGCAGAGCTCCACGAGATGTTGTTGGCCCCACTGTTGCGACAGAAGCGTGAAGAGCAGCATGACAAGGACTTCCGATTTGCTTCAGAGTTGAATGAGAAGGAAGCCCAAGAACTCAACGCGCTCTACGAATGCGAGTGTTGTTTCGCCGACGTGACATTTGAGCAGATCGCGACATGTTCAACCAACATTCACATCATTTGCTACCACTGCATCCAAAGAACTGTCTATGAAGCGCTGTTTGGGCAGGGCTGGGGCAAGTCTGTTGATTTAGAGCGCTCTACTTTGAAGTGTCTTGCGCCATTGTCCATCGGGTCGTGCGAGGGATGTCTTCATCCAGAGATTGTCAAGCAAGCAATTCTTCTTGACACGGCTGGCTTCGAAACATACCGCAAATTTGAGGATCGGCTCTCCTCTGAAGCGCTTATGAAGTCTCAATTGAAGCTCGTTAGATGCCCGTTCTGCTCCTATGCTGAAATCGACCCAGTCTACCATCCTTCAACCCATGGTGTCCGCTGGCGGTTCCGCCGTGACGGTGGCATTATTCCGACGATTTTGATGACCCTCCTCCTCCTTGACCTTGTCCCCTTACTCGTAATCCCTGTTATTATTCTTCTCCTTTTGGACCCAGCCACCGCAACAGCGGTCTTCGGAAATGCCATTCGCAACCTTTGCCTCAAGATCCGACCGAAACGCTTCACCTGTGTCAACCCCTCGTGCTCACGCATTAGCTGCATGACATGCCATAAATCGTGGCGAGATCCACATGTGTGCCATGAGCCGTTACTCCTGGACTTGCGCGCTACCGTCGAGGCTGCCCGCACTGCCGCCGTGAAACGCACCTGTCCCCGCTGCTGCCTCTCATTCGTCAAGTCCTCAGGCTGCAACAAACTGACTTGCGTTTGTGGCTACTCCATGTGCTACCTATGCCGCAAGGCACTAGGTCCACCTATACAAACAACCGCGCCTGCCCGTGCCCCCCGCGGGTTAGATGCCTTCGATGGCCCGGCTGATATACCCCACGATCCCTTTGACGATGAACAGGTGGCAGGCAACTTGTCCGATGACAATGAATTTGAAGAACCAGAAGGCTACAAACACTTCTGTGAGCACTTCCGCATCAACCCTGGGTCCCGCTGCACAGAATGCACCAAATGCAATCTTTACCAAGCAGAAGACGAGGAAGCGGTCGCCCGCCGCGCAGGCGAGAAAGCCGAGCGTGAATGGCGAATCAGGCAAGGCGATTCCGGTACCAGCAACCCAACTTCGGCTGCTGGATTCCGCAACGTCAATCATGATCTCTCGGCAGGGGCCGATAGCCACTCTACGAACCGCCGTGCCACGGCTTCAATTTGGGATTTGCAGCTTACATCTTCGAGTAAGCCGTGGGCTTACTGGCTCTGTGATGTGTGGGCTGATGGACGGTGGAAACTTGAGGGCCAGGCTTTTGCGGACTGGATTGTGGAGCGGGTCGTCGAAGTTGAGGACGCATGCTCCTGTGCGTACCTTCGGCTACAGCTTTTCAAGATGTCTTTTTTTCCTTCTAGCTTTTTATTTTCGGGTGTGTTTTGCAATAATGGCGCTTGTTATTTTCTCCCTTTCATTCCCCAGTACTCTACGCAGAACATCTGGGCTGGCGTGCGGTGAATCTTTTTTGGAGGGTTTCGGACGATGTGATGATTGATGATACTCCCTACTTCTGTTTGAGAATTGCGTGGCTTCTCACTACTGTCCAGATACAGCGAATAACCTTACTCTCTTTTTAATGCATGGACTTTTTTTTTTGAGACCAGTGTCTTCTACTCCTAAATTAGATACATTTATTGCAAAGGTATAGAGACAGAAATAAAATAGAATGTCTTAAATTGCACATGATGCTCAGAAAAACAATCTATGAAGGATACACGAGAGAGGTAGAACATTGAAAGCCATAGCGATAATACATGCTGAAACCCAATGATGACCTCCACTGAAGACCCCCACGATGCATTTGGTGGATTTATATCCACCTAACAGTAGTTGCGTTGACCAAATGTTCGGGACTGTGGAAGCACTGCTCAATATGAGTGGCTTGTTGATTGTGAACCTTGCCGAGGAAGAAACCTCTCCTGGTCATTGGCTGTATGTGTCGATGCAAAATCTGCTGTGAGCTTGCTCAATAATTGGATGATGCTGAGGCATGGATGAAGAGTTGGCTAAAGAGTTGTCTGAAGAAGAAACTTTGTGAGGCCACTTCTCATTGCTGGGTTGGATATGAGCTTTTTCTGTAAGACCGAGAAATATTGCGAGACCATATTTGATTGATTGCGAAGTCTGGTAGAGGCTTGGTTGAAAGGAACTTTGCAGGGTTATTTTTGCTGTTGGTTTGACCTAGGGGTTGAACATGAGAAGGGAAAGACTTGATAGGGAAGCTATTGTAGACTTGTTTGTTCATGGAGTTGACGAACAGCTGTTATAGACCAGATGTATGGTGGTTATAGTGCTCATGGTGGACGGCCGATGATGAAAGGCCGATGATGGCTCATGGTGGCCATGGTTGAATGCTGACGATATAAGGCTCGTGTGCTGGCAATGAAAGGTTCATGGTGGTATGGGTGGAAGATCTTCACAGTGGAGGATGGCCGTTGTGAATCATTGTCAAGATGATTGAAAAACGATGATGGTGGATGGTTGTCAATGGTGGATGAAAAATGGCGGTTCATAGTTATCAAAATGATTGGTTGGAAGTTGTCTGGTGGCTGTCTGGTAGTTGTCAAGGTGGTTGTCAAGATGGTTGTCAAGGTTGTTATTTGAAAAATTGTGGTCACAATTGGAGACGGTGTTCACGTTGTGGGTAGTTGATTGAGGTGGTTCATTGAAAGTTGATTGATCGAAGTGGGTTGATTGAAGTGGTTAACTGAAGGTGATCAGGCGGTGATCTCGAGCAACAACCTTTTTTTTACCACCACAGCAAACGGCCGTGAGAGTCTCCTTTTAATTGGGTACACGTTGTAACCTCTTCCTGACGAGAAGTCTCCTTCAGAGACACTCCTGCGGAGACTCTTGTCGTTCAAGACCGCTTCTTTTCTTTCCCCCTCTTTAAGGTTGTGCATTGTGGGTGCTTTAATATGGTTGATCGAAGTGGGTGGTTGACCAATCTTCCCATTGTCCTGAAGCCGAAGCCCGCCACGGTCAGACTGGTGGATGTTGTTGATCAAAGTGGATTGTTGACTAGTCTGCCGATTGTCCTGAAGCCAAAGCCCGCCACGGTCAGACTGGTTGTGGTGTTCGAACTGGTGGATGAATGAAGTGGGTGGTTGACCAGTCTGCCGATTGTCCTGAAGCCGAAGCCCGCCACGGTCAGACTGGTGATGTGGTTGATTCGACTGGATGGAGGAATGAAGTGGATAGGGAGGGTATGAAGGTTTACTAGAAACCAGTTAACGAGGTTCGTCTTTTAGGATGAATAGAGGGACGTCACAAGGAATGCTCATACTTCAAAGTGGTCATGGTGGAAGGCCATGATTCAAGGACATAGTAGATGACCCAGGTAGATGTGGTCATAGTAGACAGTGGTCATGGTGGATGAGGTCATGGTGGATGAGGTCATGATGGAAGGTCCAAGGTGGAAGGTCCAAGGTGGAAGGTCCATGGTGGATGGGGTCATGATGGAAGGTGACCGTAGTGGAAGGTGCATGTCCTGATGCAAGACCAAGGTGGAAGGTCCATGGTGAAACCTTGAAAAGTGGAAGTGGAGACCCAGAGAAAAGAAGAGATGTGAAGGAGGAAGAAAAAGGAGAGAGAGAAATGGGGGGGGGGGGGGGGGGGTATTTATACCTTTTCAACGACTGGCTTAAGGATCTGGGGAAACTGCGGTGGGAGACGAGTTTCGACCCAAAAGGGAAGGAGCTAGGGTGAACCCGCAGAGCCTCACCTTAACCTTCAGTAATTGTTCTTGCATTACCTAGGTACCTTGTAAAATATTTGGTACATACTAGCCTGAGATCTACAAGCCATCACTTGTGCCTTTACTATTGTTACTTGTGATACCGGTCTATTCCTATCTTATTGTAGATACATTCCTTCGGGCTAGGGAGGTCTGAGTTGACCTACGCGGGGGAGTTCCCACAAATTAAGATCAAAACATTACCGTATTTCAAAGGAGGGGGAATCCTGATATTGACTTATGTTAACTAATTCTGGATTGATAGCTAGGTTATTGAGGTCAATCCGTTGACCTTGTGGGGGCTATAATATATGGTGCCCTGGTGATCTTGTCCGATACTGAATAATTTTGTTATAGAGCGTAGATGTGTGCATCTGTGTAGAGATTGTCTAACGTTTTGGGAAGATGCTGTTATGCAAAGTAAAGTTTTGGAGAGAATAAAACCATATGTTCTAGAATGCCTTAACATCGTGAGCTGATTCGGTGTTTTATCGAAGAGGTAGTTAAACCCCCTGCCCACTTTTTATATACTCCAATTTGCCCCCTAGGTAATTCCTGCAATTAAACCAATTTTGCTTATTTGATATATCACTAGCCTCGCTACCAGCTTCACCCTGTCGTATGATATACACCCTTCTGATGTATAGAGTGTATTATCCGAACCTCTTAGAGAGCCTCCTCTAGCTTGGTCTCACCAATGCTGCGGTCAAAGCTTCACTATCTGCTTTTAGGCATTTCGATGTGTTAAGAACATTATACATATTCCTATTATGGTCGATACATACTATGATAATAAAAGGACTCAATTGCAGAGGATTCTTCATGTTGTGCCCGAGTGAAAGTTGAAAGGAATGGGGACTGAAGTTTAGTCTCGAATATCTCGCATTATGGCGACCTCTTCACTGAAAATTTCTTCAGAAAACAGTATGGCACCAGGCTGAGGGAACTGTATAACGGTAGAGGTATTGTACTGCTCCTGAAAGGGTTATTGAACGAACCTTTCTCCAGAAGACCAAATTCAACAATGATTGTCAGGACTGTGGTGTTTAACAACAAATCTGCCGACCGGTTCTCCAAGACAAGCTCAACCACTTCAAGATGCCCCTGCTCTCGGTAAGTTAACATGACCTTGCCATGACAAAGGCACGCCACATCCCCGGGGTCTCGAGGCAGGGACTCTCCCGACATGTTTTGTATACACCATGTCATAGTAGGAACCCTGGCTTTCCTGTTGAAGACGGGTGGGACTCTCAAGAGCTATCGAGCTATCATATGATGATCTCTGGGGAAATGTGGGGGAACGGACTCCACAAACGTCATGTCTTCCGGAGTGATCTCGGTGAGTCCCCGTCTCGCGTCCACTTCCTGGCACGTCCCCCTTGTTTAACTTCTCTACTTCAATTGGGGGAGCTCAGAATTGACAGCTCCGCGGTTTGAGTGCGGGAGCATTTAGTTGTCATGAAAATATCGCGATCTCGAATATAGTATTTACTACTGCTATTCCCACTGTTGAACCAAAGTCATAAACCTCGCGGAATAACCCCATTCATTTCGGGAAAATTCAAGAATTAACACTCGTCTGCTCAGCCAACCCTTTGGACAATGGCTTATTTTGCAGCTAGAACGGCTCGCGCAGCAGTGTTAGGAAATCATTCCCACCACCTCGATCGAATTTTGTTACTCGTGGGCTTGCCACACGCGCAACCTCCAACACACTCAACACCGGTGCGAAGATCCCCGCATTAGGATTTGGCACATTCCAAGACCCAGATTCCCAGGAAGAGACCGTCAGCCTAGCGCTGCGAAAGGGCATGCGCCTGATTGATCCTGCTCGTGTCTACAACGTTGAAGAGCAGGTGGGAAAGGGAATCAAGAAGAGCGGTATTCCCCGCGAAGATATTTTCGTCGGCACTAAGCTGTGGTGCAATGACTACCACCCCGAAGACGTGGAGTGTGCCGTGGATAACTCACTCCGTGACCTGGATACCCCTTACGTGGAACTTTTGATGATGCACTACCCCTGTACCTTCAAGCGCGGGGCCGATCGATTCCCTCGGGACGCCGAAGGCCGGATGATCCGCGGCGAGACCACCTTTGTGGATACGTGGAAAGCGATGGAGGACGTAATCAAGACTGGAAAGGTCAAGGCTATTGGTGTCTCGAACTTCAGTAAGGGTGAGATTGAGACGATGCTCGAGAAGACCGGCACCGTATGTGACTCCTTCAGCGATCGAAAATTTGAACTGAGTTCATTTCCATTTATAGGTCCCTGCAGTCCACCAGATGGAGGTCCATCCCTATCTGCAGCAGAAAGAATTCAACAAGTGGCTGAAGGAACAGGGAATTCACGTCGTCCAGTTCAGCCCGCTGGGCAACATGAACGACTTCTACAGACAGACCGGCTGGTCCAAGGGGACCGCACACATGAAGCGGGTCATCGATCAGCCGATTCTGAAAGAAATCGTTGTGAAGTATGGCAAGAGTACGGCCCAGGTGGTACTTGCGTGGGGTATCAATAGCGGGCGCTCCGTCATCCCGAAAAGCGTTGTGGATTGACAGGTGGAGCAGAACCTGGAGGTCGACTTCGAGCTGCAGCCTAAGGATATGGCACAAGTTTCGGTCTTGGATGCAAAGGCTCGCTTCAATGATCCTAGCTTGGACTACGAGTGGCGCCTAAATAGCGATTTGGAAGGCATTGACGGCACTGTGAAGGGACGCACTCACTAGATATTGTTTGCCACAAGAATTGTAAATAATCAACCTAATATAGCTTTTCCCTTTGGATGCTGAACTCTTGACAACTTTGAGCATATCTAGAGGCAACCAAGACAAGAGAAGAAGGAATTATACTCATGTATTAGCTCCGTGTTTGATATACTCAAGAAACCACGTGAACAACACCGGCAAGAATGAGCTTACAACGTTTGACTTTCCCTAGTGCCTTCTATCTCGTTCAAGAAGATCACCGCTGGGATTGAAATTGACATTTGAAATTGACATTTGAGTATTGTATAATTTCTTAAAGAATTATGTTTTGTTCCCGACTGTCTCAATGCTCTTAATATTGATCATAACCCGGAGTCGTTTTCTAAAGTTGAAACTAAAAGGGATGTTCGAAAGATGAATTCATCAAATGGCTTATTTGATCTACGATTAAACGGCTATCTTCGTCTGATCCAAAGCATAAATTGTTCAAGGTAAAGTAAATATGAGGTATTCTTGGACGTTTGTTGCAAACAGCGTGAGTATCGGGATTTGATAGATAAACGAATATCGGCGGTAGGGTAGAAAATGAAACCCACCCAAGGAAATGCTATTCAGAAATTACTTCTGCTCAACAGAAGACATAGTCTAATCCTTTAGTAGACACGTGAGTAGGAGAGCTATACGGATTCAAAGTCACCTAAGTCATTTCTCCCCACCCCAACGGGAAGCTCGCAGAAAACAACAGATAGTGAAGGCCTGTCAACAACCGGTCAATTGGTAAATATGTGTACGTCGCAATGGATTACCACTAAACGGCTGTCTCCGTCTGTCTGCCTGTTCTCTTTATATACTAAATCTCCCGAGGTCAGTGGCTTGCTTATTAGCAACATTGAAGCTCCTCCCATATGGATTCTATCCAAAACGAGCTTTGGTGGTAATACAGTAATATTTTACTGACAAGGTTTAAGAGTAAGTGACAACAGTGTAGTAGATTGACCCCATATCGCGTCCTGTGCCCGAGTCGAGCACTACCCCGGCTGAGTGGACCGAGAAGGTTTGAACACATCGGGATTTGTCTACGCAATTTCTGGATTCGGATCCTGGGGTAACGGATGGTTGTCACATCCGTATGGCTTGAGATGAGCTAGCTTTAGGGCACCTCTGACGTGACGTATAGTAGTATGAGTAGACGATATAGTTACTGAGGCCCAACGTTTTTCAAATAGATCCAGAAGCTTTCCAAACGAAGTGCTTACTTTTGACCGTGATAACACTCATATAACTCCTTTGCATACGATATTGAACATGTTGAATGACGAGCAGGCACAGTGGAAGATCGCCGCGAGGCCGGAAAAGAAACGCCTATTGATAGCGGTTAACTGCCTCGCTGGCGTTGCAATCTTCTTTTTCGGTCAGTCAATCCCCAATCTAAAAGTCTATGAGTTTTCTTCATATCCAGTATAACTAACTTTGATTGATCACGCAGGCTATGACCAAGGGATGATGGCTGGGGTGAATGACCCCAAATCCTACGTTAAGCGGATGGGGCTGGGGTACAAGAAAAATGGATCAATAACGGTCACCAACACTCTCTTGCAGGGAAGCATCATCTCAGTCTACTATTTGGGAACTTTGGTTGGATGCTTTATGGGTGGGTATATCAGTGATCGATTCAGTCGTATCAAGTCCCCGGCATTTGGTGCTGTCTGGGGTATCCTCGGCTGCACTTCAATGTACAGCGATGAACCCGGAGTGGATGATCACATTTCGTCTTATTAACGGCATCGGGACTGGAATTCTCAATGCTACTGTTCTAGTGTATGGCTCCGAGCTTGTGGATTACGAGTCTCGTGGCATGTTCATCGCCATGGAGTTCACTTTGAACATTGTAGGTGTGGTGATGGCTTACTGGTTAGGAGTTGGGCTTCGCTACATCGACAATGTACAAGTTGAATGTGGGACTTTTTGCTATTTTCTTCAATAAAATGAATTTGTAGATAAATTGGAAGAAATTGGAAGAAAGCCTTGGTTGAATACTGACTTGAGTGATCCTACACCAGATATCTTTAACAAATTTGGCAAGGAAGCACTGTATATTCTTGACAATAAATTAACTTGATTCGTTTATTTGTGCTGCAATATTCACTGCAATTTACTGTACATTCCACCGTCTGCTAGCAACCCCGTTGCGTTCACATAACGACTCATCTCTTCACAAGCCAAGAAAATGGCCGGACCTGCCATATCATTCGGATCTCCGATTCGACCAAGAGGAATACGCTCTTCAAGGGCGGCCATCTCAGCAGGGTCCTTCATATCATGGGCAGCTAGTGAGGTTCCGATAGTGCCAGGCATCAGGGCATTGCACCGGATCTTATCTTTGCCAAGTGCAATGGCCATTGACTGCATCATGGAGAGAATCCCAGCCTTGGTAGGAGTATAGTGAGTTTGGTACCCACCACCGAGCAAAGCGCTAACCCAATTTCCCCCATTGCGAGACAGCCTCTTGGATTAAATCGGTGCTTGTCTCCGGTCTGGTCACGTCCCCGGGGAGCTCGAGGATATTGCCCGCCTTGATGCCTGTGTTCTCGATTGCCTTGACCTCCTCCAGCAGACTGTGACGAAGATTTTCGTCCTTGGCCAGACCCAATTAATTTACTGCGACATTGCATCCTTGAGTAATATATGCCAGAACAATCGCGCGACCGATTCCAGTGGTACCATCAGTTACGGCGGCGGTCTTGCCTTTGAGCAGGTTTCAAGCGAGCGCAGCCATTGTGCAAGTTGAGCAGGGGGAAAGTGGAAAGACGCAAACACCGATAGAGAAGACTTAAATTTATTATGTGAGACAAAATGAGACTTGAATTCCAAGCCCTCAGCTTTCTTGGGGAATCGCGGGCGCTTGAACTAGATTACAGTGCCGTCTCGGGGACACATCCGCTTTATCCCCGTATCCCCACGCTTCAACACCCGTCTCGAGTCATCACTCCAATCACTCCAGTAGGAGTATGGGCAATGATTTGGGTTATGAGGTGTTCTGCGGGCACATGAGAACCTTGCCAATCCTTCCTAGATTTATAAAGAACCCATCTTTAGGTCTTTCCCGAGTCAATCATCTGTGCCTTTTTTTCTACTCAAAACACATTTATCTTCACATCATCCATAATGGCCTCCAATGAAACTCCTATCCCTCAGACTCAAGTCGCCCTGAATGGTAAGGTGATTGCTAGTAAGTGTTTGAAAAAGTGAAAGGTCTAGAGAGTGGCTAACTAACAGGATAGTTCTTTAGTTACTGGTGCCAACCGCGGAATAGGGTTGGGCATTGCTGAGTGCTGCCTTGATAACGGTGCAGCCCGGGTCTACTCGATTGACATTGGTACGACCGGAGAAGATTTTGCTGCTGTATCGAAGAAATACCCCAATAAGCTCTTTGCCCTCACTGCCAATGTGACTGAGGCGGCCACAATCACCGCTGCAGTTGATAAGATCATCAAACAGGCTGGTGCTCTACACGGCATGGTGGTAAATGGCGGACGTACATACCACAAGGCTGCCCTTGACTTTACCAAGGAGGATATTGAGACTCTGTTCAATGTCAACCTTTTCGGTGCCTTTTATACCGCACGTGCCGCTGCGCGCGCGTTTATCAAGCAGGGAATCAAGGGTTCCGGGGTTTTTACAGCTTCTATGGCTTCTTACCGTTCTAACAAAGTAAGTTTCGGTCTACTTAGACTCTTATCTACTCAATACTAAACACCACCATCAGCGCGTTCCATCCGCTCCCTACGGTGCCTCGAAGGCCAGTGTTCGCAACATGACCCACACTTTGGCCATGGAATGGGCACAGTACGGCATCCGTGTGAACAGCGTGTCCCCTGGCCTAGTAAACACCGCCATGACATACTGGGTACCCCAACAACCGGACTGGGAGCAGCAGCTCAAGTACTATGGTGGCTTCCCTCGGTTGGCCGACGTCCAGGAGCTTGGTGGTGCCTATGTGTACCTTCTGAGCGAGGCTGCCAGCTACACCACTTCCATCGACATTCCAGTGAACGGCGTGATTGGTAGAAAGTAATTCCAATGCCTTGACTTGATCATACGAAGACACTAACATGGATAGTTTGCTAAACAACAATAAACGTCTGATAGTGTGAACGAGATTAAATGTGATTTATTTTTCACCGAACATGTTTCGCTATGTTCCAATGAGAGATAATGGCCATTCAATATATTATCTCCTTGAGAGATCCATTAGAGTCGGTGACGGTACAAACCGTAGTCGGGTTCGTGTCATGATCGATCGATTCTACATGTTAGGCAGCATCATCAGCAGCTTATAGCACACGGAATCAACACGCTGAGCACGGTGTTAAAGGCTGGACCTGAATATCTATCATTTCTATTAAAATACAAGGAAAGATTAAAACAGTGGTCTATATGCTTTTATGAGCCAAAGTTGCCCATAGAGTGCTTGGGTTCTTTTAGTCAGAGTCGGTTAGAGCTAGCTCTCTCTTCTTTCTTCGTCCAACTCTCCATTAAGTCGCTTTTTTCCTTCTTCCTTCAGAGCTTGATCGTCCGCTCGGTTCAAACCAATCTGTGGCATCAACCAAACAGCCGAAAAGAAAGCAAATGTCGCAAGGGATGCACCGACAATGAAAATGATACGGAATCCCTTTTGATATGCCGGTGTCAGCACATCACGAACATACTCGGCATCCTCTACAGATAATTCTGAAAGATAATCTTGTGGACTCGAGAGCAGAGAGCGGGTCTGAGATTCGTCGAGATTGAGGACTGAGATGGACGACGAGACAATATTATTTCTGCATTGATTAATGAGAGAACAAGCCAACAGATTTGAAAGAATTCTTACATTATAGTGCCAGCAATAGCGAGCCCAAGAGTGCCGCCGAGGTTTCGTACGAAGCTGCTCATTGTTAGTTCCATAAAATGGCTTGTATCGCTGTAGGCATTCACTCACTTCCTGAATGAAGTTACCACGGCCATATCCCGTCTTTCAACACCCGCTTGAACTGCAATAAGAGAGCTATAGAAAATTAGCTTAATTTATTGGACCAGGATAGGGGACCACGTACGGCTGCAGAGTATTTCCAACCCCGACACCAGTCAGAATGCCATACCCAATCTGCTTTCCCAATCCCGAATGCCGATCAAGTGTCGAGAAAAGACCAAGACCAACAGCCCAGATAATCCATCCGAAAAGGATAGATTCACGGTAGCGGCCTATCCAGTGTACAACAAGACCGGAGCCTGTACTGCTGATAGCTGTGAAGGAAGTCAGCGCGGCAACACAACCAAGAAGAAGAGAATTCGTACTTTGCATGAGGGTAATAGGGAGGAGCATTGAAGCCGCTTTTACCGTCGAATATCCAAATACCAGCTGATAGAAAGTAGGAATATAGTAGACTTGCACCAGAAAGTTCCACCCGTTAATGAACATGGTCAAGCACGCGCCGTTCACAATTCGACTCTGGAAGATATGCATCGGAACCAGCGGTGTAGACGCGCCCTTCCACTGCCATGCAATAAAAGCAACAGAGATGGTGAACCCAGCGACCAAAGTCGCAATAACATGCGTCGAGTTCCATGCATACTCGCCGCCGCCCCAAGTCAAACCAAGCAGCAAGACCGAAGTCCCCCCGAGAGCCAGAAGCGCACCAAAGAAATCAATTGCCTTCAATTTGACTTTCCAGTCGCCCGTGACTTTTCGAAGGGGCATAAAGAACAAAACAGCCAACGTGGTTAATGCGGTGAGCGGCAGGTTCAAGCGGAAGATCCATCGCCACGAGTCTTCTGAAATGGAAGCCAGTGCACCTCCTATGACGGGACCAATGCCATTGGCAATAGCCACGACGGCACCTAGAATACCTTGATATTTGCCTCGTTCACGGAGAGGGACAACGTCGCTAACGATCATCTGTGCGACTGTCATGAGACCGCCGCCACCAACTCCGGTGAAAGCACGGAAGACAATCAATTGCGTGGCTGTCTGCGCAAGGGAAGCCGCCAATGACCCGAAGAAGAAAATGGCTAGGCCGACGAAGAGCACAAGCTTGCGAGACCAGATATCGGATAGTTTTCCATATAGTAATTGGCAACATGTTGATGTTCTGTGCCACGAATGTCAGCTTGACCGAGTAATATCATGAATACAAGAGAAAAGAGCACTCACACGAAATAACCGCCCGAAATCCAGGAGGTTTGGTCGCTGGCTCCTAATGCATTTCCTATGATAGACAAACTGGCCGCCAGGGTCGTCTGGTCCATCAATGCCAGGAGATCAACGCTGGAACATGCCAGGAAGATCTAGTAGTGGGTGACATTAGCTGGTGCATATATTGCTTGTTACCGCATCCACTAACCGTGATAATAGTACGCTTAGGTACATAATTAGTTTGTTCGTTGAAAGTGACATTCGTCCCATTCTTCTCAACCGCGACATCCTCTATTGGTTTCGAATTTCCGAGTACCCCTGTCATGGCGTTTTGAATATGAAGGGATACAACGTAAGCAGGCAGACACCCCAGGATCCGAAAACGCGACAGAAAGAGAAAAAGATATATAAAAAAAGAGCTCAGTCAAGAGGTCAAAGCGGAATAATCAATCTCATCTCTTCACATTCGTAATTTATTGATCCATTGAGTGCATTGATCGGCGGTTAGTCCGAGCACCTTGACAGAAGATCTGCATATCCAACTTAGTTGAACCAAAACTTCTCAAACACCCTCAAGGTACCCGGCCCCTTAGGACAATATCTCCAGCTATTAGAAAATTTAATCTGAGGACCTCTGGGATTATTGACTCCATTCCTGAGGACCTTGTCAAATTATGTGACACATGCATAATTCCATTCTAGAACATTGCAAGGTACGACATCAAGAATACCAGAGCATGACGCAGCTGGGCCCGAAATATTCCGTTTTCAACTGTTCTATATCCAATTACTGTGACAAGGAGACTTGTCTTACAAGGATCGATGTCCCCGAGACCGCTCCACGCGATTTCCTGGTTCATCATAGTAGCAAATTTCCAGGGTTTACAGCGTCTGCCTATGGCACTTAGCCCTCATATTGAGTCGTATGGCGGGATACTCACTAGTGGAGTAAGAGTAGATCTTACTTTCTTACCTCTCGGGTGCCAAGAAAGACGCAACAGGATGGAGGGGTTTTGCCGCTATAGAATTAATTCTGTATACCTGCCTAGAGTGACCCGGGATTTTCCTCTCATGCCTGCTTTCATCACCCGAGAAGGTTGCTCTTCAAACTCGTGCAGTAGAAATTGTCCGCTATTCCATTCCACTATCAGCATCTATTCCTTACACAAAGAGTGTCTCTCTCAACAAGATGATCGATTCTTCCAAAGAAATGACCAACGTGAACGAGCACAAT